GGGGACACAGTGGCAAGGGATGGGAGCCCACAGAAGGGAGGCAGAGGTGAGTGGGGCATGGGGACACCCGCGGACGCTTCCGCGACGGCCAGGACCCGCGGAAGCACGGGCAGGGCTGCTTTGGGCTCTCTCCACTTACCAGGCGCGGGGCAAGTAGAGGCTTCAGAAGGGGGTGTGACTTTCTTGTCGACTGGAAAATTCCCCGCGGCCAGGACCCTCGCCTTACCCTGATGCGGCCCTGTCTCTTCTCTCCCCCTTGCAGGGCGACTCGGGAGGCCCGCTTGTGTGTAAGGAGCCCAGTGGCCGCTGGTTCCTGGCGGGGCTGGTCAGCTGGGGCCTGGGCTGTGGCCGGCCCAATTACTTTGGTGTCTACACCCGCATCACAGGAGTGATTGGCTGGATCCAGCAGGTGCTGAGCTGAGCAGCTGCCCTCCCTGCGGAGTTGGGGCCCACCTCCCGGACTCAAGTGGCCAGGGCACCCACGAGGCAGGGGAGCGAGTTTTCTGGGGGCAAGCAGGGCCCCGCAGAGGCAGGGGGTGGCGTCCCGTGGTCCCCGACCTGCTCCCTGACATCTGCCCCGGGGAGGGCAACAGGAGGAAGAGGAGGGCCAGCAGCTGGTGGTCGACTCCCCCTGCACCCCAGGGCCGGGATGGTCAGCAGGCCCGGCTGAGGGGGTTCACATTCCAGCCCTGTCGCCTTCTGATTCCCTCTCCCCCTCCCCCTTCCTCCACTGCTGACTCTGGGGGTGGGGGAAATGGTTCAGCAGCACCAGCGGGGCTTCCGGGTCCCAGGAGAGGTGTCTGGGCTCCCCTCTGCCAATGCCGAGCAGATCCCAGCCTGTGAACTTGCGGGGGGGGGGTGTGTGGATGGAAGGCACCCTCCAGGGACCCGCAGAGCCCCGGAGACAGCCAGCTAGGCCAGCTGCCACCGTAAGCCAAAGGGTGGGGGAGCCCCGGGTGTAGGGTTCTCCCCCCACCCCTACCTGTCCCCCGGGCCTCCACTGCTCACTCTCACCTGGAAGTGAGCTCCGCCGCCCTGTGGAATAAAGCCGTTTGATCTGAGGCTCTGCTCTGGGGGTTAAACAGGGCCCCGGAGCACTGACCTCACGCTCTCGACTGTGCGAGCCTCCGCTTCCTGCCCGGTCTGTTCGTCAAATGTCTGGAAGGCCAAGGTTAGGTCAGTGGGGGCAGGAGAGTGACCTCCCGGGCAGTTGTCCAGGTCCCAGGACCAACCCCAGGAAGGCAGGGGTTTGGTGAACCGGAGATCAGAGCGAAGGATGGGACAAGTGATGGGCTCCTTCTGGAAGCCTGGGAGGAAACTGAGGCAGAGAGGAGCAGAGCCGTCCTCATTGGCACACCCGCGGTTGGGGGTGAAGCCTGGCGTGGAAGCCCCACCTCCTGGTTCCCAGTCCTCCACTTCTCCGGCACAACACTCCCTTTGCATTCTTGGCACCATTTACCCGGCAGGCTCTCCTGCTGTGTGTCAACTCCTGCAGTGGGGCCATGGAGATGCACAGAGCTCAGCTCCTGATCTCAGGAGGCCTGGGGATGGCAATCCACCATGAAGGGGCGCTGGGGTAGCCGAGAACTCGGGATGTCAGGGAAGGCTGCCTGGAGGAGGTGAGACTTGAGTTGTGTGGCCCGAAGACGGCCGAGGTGGGGAAGGGCATTCCAGACAGGGGAACAGCACGTGCAAAGGCAGAGTCCCACCAGAACGGGACATATTGGTAAGCTGTTTTGAGCGAAACAGAGGTTGAGTGGGAAGGAATGAAAAGGAATGTTGGCGGGGGTGGGGGGGACTCAGAGCAGCTGACAAAGAGTTTGGAGTTGAGCTTAGGACTTGACCCTGCATGCTCTGGGAAGCCACGCAAGCCTTTATGACAGGAGAGTGACACGCGAGTGGATTCACATTGTGGAATGGACCACCAGCAGCAGTGTGGACGCAGTGGGAGGCAGGGAGGCCTTGAGGAGGCCACTGCAGGACTCCAGGAGGGAGAGGGTAGGCTCTAATGAGCAGGGCAGGAAGGATGGACTTGAAGGACCCTCAGTGTCCTCCAGGTGCCTCCATGGATTGGGGTTGGGTGACAGAGGAATCACCCAGGACCATTCCAAGGGGTCTGTTCTGATCCCCTGTTGCCTGGCCTGGTGGGGGCTTGAGGTCTGGAGGATTTCAGAGCCCCTCCTCAGAAGACTCGCTGCCGGGGAGGCTGAGGAGGCGGGGAGATAGACACTCCAGA